GTGTGTGGGCGGGGTCACGCGAGTGCCGTGAGCCGCGCCGCCGGGTTAGCCGCTGTCCTGATGCGCTCGCTTCTCGAGCGGTGGCAGAAGTCGCGCCTCGGTCGGCTTTCGTGTGGAACAGCCTGAGCTCTGCTGACTTCTTTTTTTTAGTACCTGGGATCGAACTCGGGACCTTACTCTTACGAGGCAGGCGGCGGTACCGCTGAGCTACGTCCCCTGTCCTCTGCTATTATAAACCAGAAACTGGGCGGAGCGAGCGTGAGCCAAGTCCCGAGCTGTAGTCAGAGGACCCAAAGAAACAGACGTCGCGTGTCCCTCGTCCCGCTGCCTTCCCGGGGGTTAGGTCACGCCTCCCGCCCTCCAGGCTCTCTAGGTGCCAGGGCTGCCTCGGCTTCTTGAAAAGCAGAGCTTCACTTGTCTGCTTCGGTTTGCCCCCCCCACACACACACACCAGACATCTTTCTCCTCACGAAAGTGTTCCCTGGATGAGGACGTTCATAAATCCCTGTCGCCATTATGTATACCATGTTCACTGTCCCCCCCCCCCAGAATTGGGGGTTCCAACAACCATCTGCTTATGGAGGACCCGCCTAAGCGAGTGAGTACCTATGGGTAATTTTAACCAGTTTTATAAAGCACCAAAGCGCAAGCATTTATGGAATAAAACCTTAAATTTGATAAATTATGATGGAGTTAACTATACTGATAATTCCTAGGGGGAAGTTCTTTCTTATTTCCCGGTTTTAAAACTTAAATTGATGAGAACTGACTCACTTTGTGTCTTCTGATCAACTAATTAGGTCCTAAGAGAAACTGGGCACTATAAAAATAGTCCTAAAAAAAGGAAAGAAAAAACAAACCTGCCGTTCGGGTAATTCTTTAGGTTTATAAAACGCTTTGACAGCAATAATCTCCTTAGTCCTTCTCAGTTTTGTGAGGTAAATTCCAAAGTTTAGAGAGATTAAATGACTTACCCATATTCGCACAGCTGCTGAATGGCAGAACTGTGCTCAAATCCCAGCCTACTGATTCCGAATCCAGCTCTCTCTACCCCATTGTTTTCAGTCACAGAATTTAGAATTCGAAGGCTCCTTAGAAATCTTCAGCCTACCCCACCCCACAATAAATTAAGATTTTTTTTTTTAAAGAAATTTACCTGGGGGGGGCGTGGATTTAGTTTAGTGGTTCCACCTCCTGCCTTAAAAGCGCATGGCCCTGAGTTTGAGCCCCAGTACCAAAAAAAAAGAAAGAAAAGAAAAAAAAAAACTTACTGAGGGGGCAACAACGAATTACCAGCTACATTTGCACTAAATTTCAAATTTTATTACAGTGTCTTTTCCCATTTCTCACACCTTCTGTGGACATTCGTGTTTTGTTTAGACAGGGTCTCCCTAAGTAGCCCAGGCTGGCCTAGAACTTGCCGACTTCCTGAGTTCTGGGATTACAGGAATTTTATTTAGCTCTGAACATTCAGTGGGCGCTTTTACTTTCTTTCTTTCTTTCTTTCTTTATTTTTGCTTGAGGTTATTATCCTCCTGCCTCAGTCTCACAGTGTTGGGATTACAGGCATGTGCTGTCACGCCTGGCTTTGTGGACACTTTTAAAGAGTTCTACTAATCCCAAACTAACAGTTTATTTAAAGGGAGTGAACTTTAATTTGTCTCTTCAAATAAAAATCTTATAATGGAATTATCTTGAAATGGACATAGGTACCTTCTGAGCAGACGCATTTGAGGATACAACATCACAAGCCAAAATGCCAAGAGTGTTGAACCTGAATTTGATCAAGAGGAAACAATCAGACATCTCCAGTTGTATGTAGGTGAAAAATGACTGCTCAAAAATAGAATGAAGCCTCTCTCTTCCCTTTTATTGGCATTTGACAGCTGCCCTTTTGTTTCTATAAAAAATTATCATTTAGGCCAGATGTGATGGCACACGCCTGGAATCCCAGCACTTGGGAGGCTGAGGCAGGAGGATCGCTGCAAATTCAAGGCCAGCCTAGACTACATAGTGAGGTCAAGGCAGACCTGAACTACATAGGGAGACCCTGTCTAAAAAAAACCAAAATTATCATTTAGACATGTACCAGCTCCCTACAATGAATATAATCATTATGTACTGCAAACGTGTACTAATAATTTTTTTTAAAATTCACCTACGTATCTTCTTGAAAGAGTAAAAGACATCATATTACGTGATATGTGCATATCCATATTTATAGCAACACCAACTCAAGAGCGAAATTTTGAAGGGGACCTCTAAGGTCCTGAGTTTGATCCCTGTTACTGAAAAAAAAAAGGACCAGGAGGGCCAGGGGTCAGTGGTTCTGCTGCCTGCCTCACAAGTGAGTGCAAGGTCCCACGTTCAATCCCTGTTACCAAAAAAAAAAAAAAAGGACCAGGGCAACGCATTTGGGACCCCTCTTGTCTCTTAAGAACTATTCCTATTTTCCTACTCAAAACATAAAAAAATCAGGACCAGATGGTGGCTACATGGAAGTTCACTTTATAATAATTTCTTAATTTGTATATTCATATTTTCTAGAAGTATATAATATTCATAACTTTAAAACATTAAAAATTGTGGGCCAGGGATTTAGCTCAGTGTGCCTCCTTCTGTCTTGCAAGTGCAAGATGCCAAGTTTGGTCTCTGGTACCAAAAAAAAAGATTTAAAAGTTGTGGGCCAAGCCAGGCATGGTGGTGCACGCCTGTAATCCCAGCACTTGGAAGGCTGAGGCAGGAAGATTGCTGTGAGTTCGAGACCAGCCTGGGCTACGTGGTAAGTTCCAAGTCAGTCTCCACTACGTAGTGAGACCCTGTCTCAAAAAAAAAAAACAAAAGCCCAATAAAAGTTCTGGGCCAGGGAGTTAGCTCAGTGGTTCCACTGCCTGCCTCACAAGGGCAACCAAATTCAACCCGATACCAAAAAAAAAAAAAAAAAAAAAGTTGTAAGTATAGGCTTTTGGGCCCTTTAAATGTGGATTCAGGACCTAGCACTTGCCAGGCAGATGCTGTGCCACTGAGATAGCTAATCACTTCCTAATTTTTTTTTGTTATTGGTACATTTTAGGCATATAATATGACATTCATCATTGGAAATTTATATCTTTACGTAATCTATCTTGGTTCATCTCCCCCCGCACATTCCCTTGCCTTCCCTTCAGTCCCTTTACCCCTCCCTATTTACAAAGACTTTGTTTCCATTTTTTTATTTTCTCATATTAATTCCAATCCCTTCTTTCTTTTCCCCTACCCTTCCTGCTTCCCTTACCCCTTTGCCCTTTTTCTTCCTGTTTCACATTATCTATTATACTTTTCAAATCAGTTTCTACTTGTGAAGCTAGCAGTGATACCCTTTTTAAAAAAATTATATTAGTACATGTTTGCAGTACAAGCTGGGTATGGCACACGCCTATTATACCAACACTGGGGGGCTGAGGCAGGAAGATCGCCGTGAGTTTACATAGTAAGACCTTGTCTCAAAAAAAATCGGGCGGAGATTTAGCTTAGTGGTTCCGCCACCTGCCTCAAAAGCGCAAGGACCTGAGTTTGATCCCCAGTACAAAAAAAAAAAAAAAAAAAAATGTTTGCAGTACATGCATTTTACAATCATCTTGGGATATTTGAACATGTATGTCGTGAAATCCTTTTAAAGTTCAGATAACTTAGGTAAAAGTGTGTAGTATATGATGAGTGCTCAGTGAATGCTTTCTCATCTCCAGCCCATCTCCATTAACTCCATCACGTGACTGCCTGTATTCATGTTTTTGGAGAGAATATAGTAGCCTCCAAGATGGTCATCAGTGTCTTTCCTCCTGCTCTTCAAACCCTCAAGTAGTCCCCATCCATGTTAGATAGGGCTGAGCTGTATAACCGAAAGCATTTTGAAGAAATATGCATGGAATTCTCAGGCTAGACCATAAGAGACTATGGTTTCTATATTCCCTCTCGTGGATGATTGCTCTTGAGGAATGCAGCTGCCATGTTGTGAGGATACTTAAATAGCCCTGAGAAGTCCACATGGCTAGGAACCAAGACCTGCAGACAACCTGTATCAACAAACCATATGGGTCAACTGTCTTGGAGGGTCATCCAGAGGATTAAGCCCCCACAGATGGCTAACTGAACGCTTATGAATGACTTTGAGCCAGAACCACAAACCAAGCCACTCCCAACTTCGTGACACACAAAACTGTGTATGATAACAATTTTTAAAATTTTTCATTGTTCACTGGCGAAACTGGGGATTGAACCCAGGGTCCTCTTGTCCATGCTGGGCAAGCACTCTGCCACTGAGCCACATCCCCAGACTTTTGTTTTTGTTTTTTGGTACCAGGGATCAAACTCAGGACCGTGTGCTTGCAAAGCAGGCAACAGAACCACTGAGCTAAATTCCCGGTTCCCCAGACCTTTGTATATTGGAGGTAGGACTTCACCAAGTTGCCCAGGTTGGCCTTGAACTTGAAATCTTCCTGCCTCAGCCTCCCAAGTAGCCGGAATTGTAGGCATTTGCTACAGTGCCTGGCAATTTTTTACTTTTGTATTATGTAATTATGCATTAAAATTATGCAATAATTATTGCAATAAAATGCAATACAAAGGAGCAAGAAATTGGTAGAAGAGCTTGTAACTCTGAAATTTGGTTCTGAAGGGCTGGGAATGTAGCTCAGTGGCACATTGCCTGCCTGGCAAGTACATGGCCCTGAGTTTGACTCCTGGTACCAAAGAGAAAATTTTTTTTCAAGTTTTGGAGAGACATAGGTTCAGGAACAAAAAGTAGGTTGGATTATTAAAGAAGGAAAAAGAGCATTCTCAGAGATATACTGAGCTAAGAAAGTTCTGTGTATTGGGAAAAGTCAATGTGAGATTATCCAACAATACTTTATCGCCCTACAATGAATGTCATTCTGTGTGCCTAAAATGGACTGATAAATGTTTGGCTATTAAAAAAGAAAGAAACAGTTCCTGGGAAAACCATCTGGGCTAAGAGAACTTTGAATATTTTTCCCCACACGTTTAGTATTTTGAAATATATCATCATTTATTGTTTCATAACAAGTAATCCCAAATGGAGTAGTTTAAGACAATAAACACTGATTGTTTCACACAGTTTCTGAGAGTCAGGCATCTCATGAGTTTGTCATCCGGCAGTCAGCTAAGACTGCAGACAGCTGAAAGCCTCATCTGGGGCTGCAGGCTTTACTTGCAGCTCACTTACGTAGCTGTTGGCAAGAGGCTCTGTTCTTGCCATGTGGACTTTTTTATAGGGATGTTCAATCTATGGCCTCCTCCAGAATAATTGGTGGGGGGACACACAACTGCAATATCTTTTTTTTAGCTTAATCTCAAAAGTGACACCCGATCACTGCCATATCCTATGGGGCACAGGTGGGGATCACACAAGGCATGGTAGGGATCGGTAGGGCTATTTTGTTTTTTGGGTTGTTTTTGGTATAGGGGATTGAACTTGGGTCCTTGCGCTTGCAAGGCAGGCCACCGAACCTGAGCTAAATTTTTTTTGGGTTGTTTTTGGTATAGGGGATTGAACTTGGGTCCTTGCGCTTGCAAGGCAGGCCACCGAACCGCTGAGCTAAATTCCCGGCCCCTCATTGGGGCTATTTTGAATGCTGCCTGCCATATGTATAATTTATTTTGGGTTTTTTTATTGTTTTGTTATTGTTGTTGGTACTGGGGATCGAACTTGGGTCCTTGTGCTTGCAAGGCAGGCGGCAGAACCACTGAGCTAAATCCCCGGCCCCATACATATAATTTATTTATTTGGTTGGTTGGTTGGTTTTTTGAGACAGGGTCTCACTATGTAGTGAGACTGACCAGGAACTCACTGTGTGACCCAGGCTGGTCTTGAACTCACAGCGATCCTCCTGCCTCAGCCTCCCAAGTGCTGGGATTACAGGCATGCACCACCACGCCCAGCCCCATAGGTATAATTTATATATGATGAAATTCACAGATCAGGGTGCAGCTTGACCAGTTGTAAAAACTGAATATTGTAACATAGCCCATACTTCTTTTTTTTTTTTTTTTTTGGTACCACAGATCAAACTTGGGACCTTGCGCTTGTGAAGCAGGTGGCAAAACCACAGAGCTAAATCCCCGGCCCTAACCCACACTTCTATGAAGTTTTGAACATATCCATTAGCTCAGAATCTCCTTTCATGGCCCTTTTCAGTCAGTCCCCTCTCACCCAAAGCAACTACCAACCTTATTTCTTCTTCTTTCTTTTTTTGAGACAGGGTCTCACTATGTAGTTCAGGCTAGCCTTGAACTCACCGTGTAGCTCAGGCTGGTCCCAAACTCACAGCACCAACCTTACTTCTAATCTACATAAAACCCAGTTTTGCCTGTTTGGTGAAAATAGAACCATATGCTATGGATAGTTTCATCTTCTGTCTAATGATTTGAGATTCATCCATGCAGTTACTCATTCAATGGTTTGTTTCATCTTACCAGTGAGTTTTGCACTCCCACCTTTATGAGACCTTACCCTTATGAGGTGTGCCTTATTAAATATAGCATAAAAAAAAGACTATCAAGAACACAGCATTTGTTCCCAAGATGTTTCTACATTAGACTGTCAGCCAGGCATGACCCAACTGAGGATACAGAGAAAGACATCATGATCCTAGAAGATACAGAGTCTTCCTTAGAGACAGGCACACTAGCACAATATAAATACTGCTCTAAAATGACAGGAAAGAACTATGGTTCCTGAAATGAATTTGGGATGCTTCCGAACAAAGGTGCCCTCTAAACTGAGTTTTCAGAGCTGAGAGGAATGGAAGAAGTACTGGAGGAGGGAGCAGGAGAATCAGCATATGGGGCAATGAGAAAAGGGAGCAGGGCAGTCAAGGAATCACAGTGTGTCACAAGGGGTGCTGAGGGGAGATGTGAGGGAGAGGCATCTGCCTGCCTGATGTGAGGAAAAGGAAGGTGGAGAGACTAGTTAGGGCACTTTGTGTGCTAAGAGTGAGGTAGAGTGGGAAGGGATGACTTCAGCAGCAGAATCTGCAGGTCTTAGGTAGCAGAGGGATATGGGACCATGGTACTTCCAGATTCATAGTGAGAAAGGGATTGGAATTGAGTTTAAGAAATTTAAGGATGAAGATTATGCTAAGAAGGGATGGGGGGTTGTGTGGCTCAATGAGAGGCCCCTTGCCTAACAGAAGGGACAGAAGAAAATCAGGGAAAATTGGTGAGGAAATTTCTGAATTTCTGTTCCTGTCTTTCCTTTTACACTTAAGGTTGTTAAAAGAGATGTTTCCCTTTTCTGTTTCTTCCTCATCTCACATTGCCTCCTTGTTGTTGTTATTGTTTGTCTTTTTTGTTTTATGAGACATGCTGGCCTTGCACTCACTGTGTAGGCCAGGCTGGCCTTGGCTCCTGCTGCCCCAGCCTCCAGAGTGCTGGGGTTACAGGCATGGAACCAGCCTCTTATGAACCAAATTTGCTTTTCCTAAACTCACCAGTGACATGTTAACTGCTTGATTTAATTAATATTTTAAAGTATTATATGCTATGTTCCTGACAACCATTGACTCAGCATATCATGTTGGTAATGCTTCCTGTTTGAAACTCCTTGACCTCAATTTCTGGGATACTTAGATACTTCCACTTTTTTTTCTCCAGCTGTATAAATAAGGTGCTTTCTGTTTAGGTTTTTCTCTTTTCTAGAACACCACCTTGTTGCTACATCCATCCAAATGTTCCCATTTGCAGGGTTATATGGTGGATCCTGCAGTTGCCTCAATTCATAGCCATTAATCTCCCTTTTTGTAGCTTTTTTCTGCTTTAAAGGCTAGCGAGATGAAGCACTTGATTATCTTTCCTTGAAGCTAGGGATGGCCATGTGACACCATTTAGGAGCATGAGCTATAGGCAGAAACATCTGGACATTCCTCTTCCCATTGAAAAGACTAGTAGGGCTGGGAATGGGGGTCAGTGGTAGAGCTCTTGCCTAGCATGTTCAAGGCCCTGGTTCAAGCCCCAGTACTGTATAAAAAATTTTTCAAAAAGATAACCTGATGGAAAAGTTTTGCATTTCATCCTTGTACCTTTTTCTTTCCCAGAACATAAATGTAGAGTTGGAAGCACACTTGGGGATATTTTGATTATGAGGCCGAAACCTACATGACAGTGATGATGTAAGAGAAAGATGATCGTCATCAGCCTTCTTCCTGTCTTTTTGTTGCATAGCATAAATAAACTACGTGTTTGTTTAAAGTATTCTTAGCCGAGTTAAAATCCTGGTAGATGTTTGCGTACTTGGACATTTTTTTCTCTTCATTTTCCCTGACTCTACAGATCTCATCCACCATCTTGATTTTAATCATCGTCCATATTGAATTCACTTACAAAATCCACATCTCTGTCCAGACCTGTCCTCTGAGTTTAACCACCCGCCTACTGTATGTTTCCATTTGGATTTCTACCTCAGCAAAATTCACTATGTGCACACTGGCTTAGGCCTTGCGCTTTAACAAAACTGAGGTATTTTCTAAAGCATAAAAAACACCTGAAAGAACAAACATCAAGTATTTTTAGATAAAATACTGAATTAATATTGACCCAATTTTTACTTATCTTCATATGTATTCTAGCCAAGTAGTGGTGAGCCTGTGGCATTTGTGTCACAGAGGGAACACAGAGCCCTCTGTTGGCATGTGAGCCAAGTGTATGTGTTGTTTTTCCTAAACTGAAACCTCAATATTCTGGTTTAATTGCAGTGTTGGCACTTTGTCATAAATAAGTGAGCTTTGGGTTGCAGTTTGAGAACTTGGTCTCTAAAAGGTTCTAAAGGTCTCTGAAGGGTGATTGCTGTTCTAGGCTTTCCTGTGGTTATAAAATGACTCAACAAGAGAGGTGGAAATCTGCTACCTGAGGAAGCACAAAAGTCTGAATTGGAGAATTCGTAACTACAAAATACTTACTGGTCTGTTGGAGCCGAGGACCACATACTCTTGGGCTGACTCTGCCTGACACGCAGAGGGCCAGCTGTTCTTACTGCTCTGTGAGTAAGCAGCTTTAAATCAACACATTTCAGCTAAGATCTTTATCATCTACAACTGGAGGAAGGGGCTGATACAGGGAGGAATTGTGAAACAGGGTCTAAATTGCTGATACATATTTGAGCATTTTATTTATTTGTTGTTGTTTTGTTTTTTGGAGATAGGCTCTCATTATGAAGTTCAGGCTGGCCTCGAACTTGGAGCAATCTGCCCACCTCAGCCTCTGGAGGGATGGATTACAAGGCATGTGCCACCAAGCCTGGCTGAGTAGTTTAATTTAAAACAATGTTTACCAATCTTTTAGAAAATATATTATTAATCATCAATCTTTTGATGTATGGTTGAACTAGTCTAGACTGTACTACTTGCCTAGATTCAAAGATTGCTGAGTGATCACAGAAGTGATTGACTACTCACGATTAAACCTATGAAAACACAGTGAATAAAAACATACAGGATCAAAGATGCAGGTAAATGTGGTTCCTCGGAGCCTACCTTTATTCCTCATGGTGGTTGACAGTCCTGGATACGGAAGGAAGTGAACAGTCCTCTAGGCCAGGGGAGCTGGGACGATGGACCAGCTGCCGCGTGTGAGTTGAAAGCTGGAGTGAGGCCGCTATTGCTCAAGCACGCCCCCTACTGCCAGCTGCGGTGATTCCCTCCTGGGTCTCAGTACTGGCTTTGGATCCGCGAGGTTTCAAGAAGCCAGCTTGGAATTGGAGTGCAGCAGGGCGAGCTGTGGCTCTTCAAAGGAATAAAGCCTTTTCTTTGAATATTAGAACTCAGATTCTTGGGCTTGAGTAATGGTTAATTAAAGTACTAATTAAATTACATAAAGTAACACCCACAGCTGGAAAAACAGGTCTTGGGAGAAAGCCATCTGACTCACGGTAAACATCAAGCCCAACTTCTGGCTGCAGAAGTGCAGGATCACGTCAGAGAGTAGCCAAGAGGCGTCAGACAACCGTGTTGCAAGGAATAGTGACTGTAGGTTAGGGGCATTGTTATTCTGAATGGATATACAGATGCTGCAAATCTGCCCATGTTGGAGTTTGGCCATCTTTCTCCCTCTGTCCATCTTTTCTGCTGCTGCTTTCTACAGACGCTATGTGCTGAAGGAGGAATTCCTGTTTGTGGTACTTAGAGGTTGAATCCAGGGCCTTCTTACTGAGCTACATGCCCTGACTTTTTTTGAGTTTTTAAATTTGGTACAGGGTCTCAGTTGCTGACTTTGCCTAGGTTGGTCTCAAATTTGGAATCCTCCTGTCTCAGCTTAGCAGAGCACTGGGGTCACAGGTGTGTGCCACCACACCCCGCTTTAACAGTTGCCTATGACAGAGGTGACGTGGTGTGTTCACTGTCCTCTTCCTGGAGGCCTCAGCAGTTAGGTTACAGCCTCTGTAGAATTTGGCTAACAGGATGTGGGTGGCTTCTGGTTTGCTCTTCTTTGGGAGTACTGAGGAGTGAACCAGAGTCTCATTTATGCTGAACTCACTCTCTACCACTGAGCTGCACCCCCAGTGACTGTTTATTCTCTTAAAATCTTTGCATAAACATAAGATCTTAGCTATAATGAAATTCAATATATCTTTTATTGTTTTTTCTCAGTAGTAGAGATTGAACCTGGGGCCTTAGTACTGAGCTACAGAAGGGCACATCCCCAGCCCTTTTTAATTTTTATTTTGAGACAGTTCTTGCTAATTCACTAAATTGCCTAGGTTGGACTCAAGCTTGTGATCCTCCGTCCTCAACCTCCCAGAGTACTGAGATTACAGGGTTATGCCACCATACCTGGCTGTTTGTGGAACTTCTATCCAGTATCTTATATCCATCTAATTTGGGTTTTTGTATCTTTTATTATTTTTTATTTTTATATATTTATTTTATTTTATTTTTTGAGATATGCTGACCTTGAACTCACTGTGTACCCCAGGCTGGCCTTAAACACACAGGGATCCTCCTGCTTCAGCTTCCATGTGCTAGGATTACAGGTGTGCATCACCACGCCCAACTTTATTTTCTATTTATTTAGGAACTGGGGTGAACAAAGGGGTCATCACCCTGAGCTATATGCTCAGCCCTCTTTTTCGTTTTTGTTTTGAGACAGGGTCATGCTAAGTCACTAAATTGCCCAGGAGAGGTTTGAACTTGGAATCTTTCTGCCTCAGCCTCCCATCTGGGATTAGTATGTGCCACAGCCTTATTAGCTCATAAATGCTGATACTTTCTCTCTTTTTTTTTCCTACGGGGTCATTTAAATTAACATGAAACTCCTAGTTTATCAACAAGTCATTTAAATACCTTGGATTTTTATTTACACTGTTTTGAAGAGCACATTTTAGGCACAAATCAGAGCACAGTTTTACTACTGTACTCCATCTGCCAGAAATCCAAAACATCTGCTCATCCAAAACATGTTAAATTTGGGCCAACTCATTTCTTCCCAGAGTTTAGGGTTCAGTGGGGAAAAGACTGGCCCTAGAATGTAAGCAAGAGTAAGACACATCTCAGAGGGGAAACCACCACAGAGGAAAAAGCTTGCAGTCTGGGGAAGCCTACTCCTACTGTGCCTGAGGTTGTGACACTGAAGAGTGTAGAGGAGAGACAGGGAAAACAAAGAGGAGCTGGGACTCTCCACACGGGAACTGGTGAATCTCACACAGCAGCTCATGCAGTGGGAGCTCCAGGCTCTGCTGGCCAGTGTGGCCCTGCAAAGCTAGACACAGCAGCCAGCTGGCTTTAGGCCGGGTCTGGCCTCACCTCCTCTCCAGCAGTTGTCCACACTGACTGATTTTGGCAGTGGCTGGCACCTCGCCAGGCAGGGCCAGCCCAGAAAGCAGTAATCTAGACGAGGCTCTGGGCCAAGCCCGAGGTGCCCCCAGTCCCCTGCAAGGCAGGCTGCCCTGCCTACCTGCACCAGTCAGGACCACTGCTTTCCCTCCACAGGCCTTTGGCACGAGCAGATTTGCCCTTTTGCTAGTTTCTGTTTTTGTTTTTGTGGTACCAGGAATCAAACTCAGGCCCTTGGGCTTACGAGGCAGTCCTTGGAACCACTGAACCAAATCCCCAGCCCCCTTTTGCTAGTTTCTTATGGAAATGCCTAACATAGACAGAAGTGACAGTGTACAGAGAAGCATAGTGATCTCATCCCTCAGCTTGCTCTATCTCCCATTTCCCAAGGCAGAGGAAGCCTTACCCTGGGCTACTCCAGACATACCTCCTGACATCTTTCCTGCATTTTACAAGTTCTGCCCTAGAGATGGTTCTGTTGAAATTGTAGTGCTTGTTTTCATCATACAACAGCTGGCCTCTTTATGAAGAGTGTTCTGAAATCTGTGGCCTTTCTCTTACCTCACCTTTAGGACTTGGTACGAGCAGTGCAGGAGGACCAGAGGGGCTTGTCTGTAGGAGGTTATACCTAGAGGAGAGCCCTTCTTCTGGAGCTCCTGTCTTGGTAATAAAGTAGCTGGTCCTGCATTTTTTATTGTTTCTGTTTGTTTGTCTTTGGTACCTCAGGACTTTGTGCTTTGAGGCAGGCAGAACCACTGAGCTAAATCCCCAGCCCCTATTTTTGTTTTTTGAGACAAGATCTTGCTCTATAGTTCAGGCCTGTCTTGAACTCACTATGTAACCCCCAGGCTGGCCTTGAGCTCAAAGCAATCATCCTGCCTCAGCCTCCCAAGTGCTGGGATTACTGGCATGTGCCACCGCACCCTGCCCCTACATTTTCGGAGGAAAAAAATTAGGAAGTTTATTACTAGATTTATACTTTGGCTTCTATATCAGCCTCCCTCTCATATATTTATTTTTGGTAGGGCTAACCTCTTAAGGAGTTATGGAAGAATTTCATTGTGACAGAATTTTCTTCAGTCCCTTCTTTTGATAAAACTCATCATGGTTATTATTGTAGGAATGTTGATAGAAATGTCGTTTACTGTCCCAAAGTATTCCTCTAATAATATTTGTTTCAAATCTCAATGTAAAGAAAATTTATATTTCTTCAGAGACATGTTATGTCATTGATTTGGTGAATCTTGTGTGACTGGTTGCATTTCCCGGTGCTTTGGCTATAAGGAATCTAAAGCTGTATTTTCTCTCACATCTAGAAACTATCCCAAGTTTCTGTGGTATAAATTTCTGGCTCAATTTTGTTATCCTGACCTATTTTTCTTTTTTTCCCCCCTAAAGTCTTAATCTATTTAGATATCTGCTCTCATGATTCAT